ATGAGTCANTAGACGGGAGGGACGAACGAAGTGATCATGAGAGTCTAATGACCTTAAGGTGGGGTCACACCACTTTTTTCAAGTAATGGAAATATGCATCGATTTTTTTTTCACTTTTCCCATCGAAAAATCGTATTTTTTCGTCTGTGATTATTCTCGAGTCCACAAACAATCCCCCAACATCAGCTGCCATTTTATCACGCGGGGTTATGTTTAGAGAGAAAAGGGAACGCCGGTGATACAAATTCAAAACATTAAACACATATAAATTGATTAGTTATCGATATTCATTCAGTAAAAATGAAAATTTCATTGAATTCCGGCGCAACGAGCGAGGTATCTTATTTGAAACTCACTGATCCCTATCTTTCTACTCTCTACACGGAGAGAAACATTCAATAAAAATTACGTATTTTTTCCGTAATTCCGGAGCGAAATGTGGTGGTAGAAAATTTTACGGAACTGTCACGGAATTTTTCCACAGCACTCCTTAATTTTTATCTGAATCTCTTGTGAAAAATTACGATACCGTCACTTAAATTTTCTGAGTCGATTCCGTAATCGGTGAGTGAAGTGAGAGTTCCGTAATTTTTACTGAACATTTCTCTACGTGTATGTGCGCGGGTAGTGGGGGTATAGGGATTCCCGGAATTCCACCCTCCTACTGTCCGAGACTTATCTTATACGAAGCCTCTACTGTATTCCTGTAATACAGTATGATAGAGAATAAAGTCTTCAGTTGAAACTGAACAGGTTCAGGGTTCAGGGCAGGTGTCCGGTTGGATCCTTGTAATGCAAGTGCAGAAATTTTTTAAATATTTTGTTTGTTATCTTTTCCTCACTATCACCTAAATTACGCTGCATTATAATCAATCCATTAATTCATGCATAAATATTATGCGCCTTATCACTATCTTCATTTTTGTTTCATGATAATGGACTCTGGAAGGATGAATTTTCGAAAATTTCGGTGATTCAGGCAAAGTTTAATTCACCCCTGCAAATTGAAGGGTCTAATAGCATTGGGAATTTCAATATAACTCGCTTGTCATCTATACTCGTCTAACTCCGATGTTTAGCTAATAAGTAACAATTACTGTCCACTTTGATCGCTATTTATCGTTCCATGCCATAGCGACCATATCCTTTAGAATATGTAAAGGTAAGTGCCACGATATTTATCGCTGAACAGTGTCGGCAGATAATGTAGGATTCTTGTGTATCTTCGTCAGACTGGATTGTGGTGTTCGCTACTAGGGATGAGTGATGTTTTAAAATACATTGATTATCGAAGAATCGATGTTTTTCAAAAAACATTGATGTTGAGAATCGATTTTTCTGGAAAAACATCGATTATTTAAAAAATCGATGGTTTTCTCAGTACACAAGAAAAATAATTTTTTTATTTTAAAAAAGTTGAAATTTTTTTTTTAAAAACAACAGACGACTGGACTTATTCACTTATCATTTATAACGCACATACTGTAGAAAATAGTTACTGCTGAATGCAGATAAATTATTCCTTTTTTTATTCTCATTCAATCAATATTATTATTCGATAAAAAAATGAAAAATTTTATTAGCTGACTCCAAAACATCGATGCTTGAAAAAAAATATCGAAAATCTATCCCATCCCTATTCGCTACTCGTCATTATTCACCGGTTTTTTCATCTGGACACAGATATTGTGAATAATTAAAAAGTTTTCATTGCCAAATCAGCATGAAACTTTCAAATTAGCTGATGATTTATTACCACTCGAGACAGTTAAATCTGAAGTTATCATTGTCCATCAAGAGAAATGGAGGCTTGTTTTTATTGTGAATAAGAATTATGCTGCTAACGAATTGAGCGCCAGTTTGATGGAACTCTGTGATCCGTCAACTTTGTTTAGGTATCCTACAACACCCAAAGAAGTGACTGCGTCTTTTGAAACTGTTATATGTGAAGTAACTGGTTTGAAAAGATTCAAATCCAACAGATGCACTATACCCAAACGAGTTCAAAATACGATTTCTCGTAAGTTTGTCGATTACCAACGAATAAAGCTTTGACAAATCTATTTCCATTGTACAATTAGAGAAATAATAATTTTTCGCCCAGAAAATCATACTGAAGAGAAATAATAGAAGATATAATGAGTCCAACCTTCACCATTTGCCAATATTCAATTAAGTATTCACTTATAATTAATATTGCATTTTCTAAGGTTTTCTTCAAACAAAGTTGATTAGAATTAATAGTTTGAATGATGAGATAATCTCACATTTTTTACGTTAAGTATAGGAGAATCTGAATGCAATATAGTGAAAATGATGATCGATTCTTCCACTTTGAACAAATAATATTAATATCTAAATACAAAATTTCTGACATGAATAAAAAGAAGCTGTGACTCAAAATTTTAAATTAAGTTTCAAGTTTTAATTTACTGCTGAAAACACGAGATGACAATATTCTAAGCACGGAATTATATTGATGAGATGAGGAGCAGATTAATTGAATTATCGTGTGAACTAACTAAAAATTGATAACCAGAGTATCAATAAACATTGAATTCCAGAAACTCACACTGTAATGTGTGTTCTAGAAGAAATCCAATTGTAATTATGATTAAAATCTTATCCAGTGAGCCCAGGAACTGGAACATGAGCAAATCATTTATTGTAATATGGAAATTTAACAGCTGATAAATTGGCACACATGATTATCATCGGTCGTATTGCTTTTTGCAGTGACAATGATTATCAACAATTAATTGAAAAAAGGAAAATTGGATCTGACAGGAAAAGGGCTCAATGAAAGTTTTTTAAATTTGTGACTGTGAGGTATTCGAATTCGTAAATACTTTTGAATATAAGTGTACACCCTCGCAGTAGGATTAGGGTCTACGAATAAAACTGTACTGTATAGTCAATCTCATTCTGGAGTTCTTCGGAGTAACGCCGAATAAATATGGAACTTGTCTGAATTTTTTTTATTTTCTAATCTCAAGTTTAGAACCTGAATAATTCATTCTTCATTCACAAACGTTTGAAATATTGCTCATTAATTAATAATTAATTTTTAAAAGTCAAAGATTTGAAACTCTTCAAAATCGCCAATGACGTCACACAAACGGTCGAGCGCTGGGGGCCTATTCTCGAAANGACTATATTTCCGTGCACGGAAGTGGCTTCGTAAACGAATTGCGTATAGGAATCATATAGGCGTTCCGTCAACGGAGTCGATTCCGCGCACGAAAATATTTCGAGAATAGGCGCCCGGGACCAATCACAAAATGGCTCGAGCCAACCTAACCCAATCTTGAGGTGCGCCTCAGCCAATGGAGGACGACAACTCACCACTCTCTTCTTTTTCGACCAATCAAGCGGTACCTGACCGTCTTCGTGACGTCATGACCGAAAAATTGGCCTCGAAAACGACTGATTTTCAATTAATCATTATAAGACATCTAGACAATATTTCTCCATAATTGTCACCGTTTAACTGTTTCGTATTGTTCTTTTCCTCCCTCTCAACCACCTTCATGTGATCCTCTCTTTTTAACTCGTTATTCTTTTATCTTCATTTCTAGTCCGCAAACACGTCATTCCTTTCTGTATCTCTTGTTCGCCCCAAAATCTTCAATAAACCAGTTGTTTAATTATTAAATGTGTCCATTCTTAACAATCCTATTTACTAAAGATGAAAGAAACGTGAAGTTGTTTTATATCGAAATATCTCGAAACTGCCTGATCGCTAATCCTTAATTTGGATTGGTCAATATGTGACACGAAGTTATTCACAAAAAAAAACACGCGGTATTTTCAAATTCTTCAGTGACATAATTTCAAAATCTTCAGTGGTAAATTTTTTTTTCACGTCATATATATAATATATACATATATTTCACATGTATATATATCATCGGTGAAATTAATAAATTCTGTCCTTTTATGGAGACCGATTATTTTCAAAAATTAAAGATAATTAATTGAAAATGAAAAATTCTTTATAGATTTTTTTACTCTACTTCGGCATTCACTTCAATCATTAGTCGAATTCTCTTTGATTCATTATCAATATTTATCAGGTATTGATGAAAAAATGAAATTCAATGAATTCCATTTCTTCATTTCAACAAATGAATAGATCAGAGCGCGTGAGAGCGCGCGCATAGATCTTGTGTTACAAGAAATGTGTGAATAGGGGAATCAGAAAGAATTGCGCTTCATGCAAGTTTCCTATTAGTTCTCTGTCTAATTGTTATATTATTTATTTACTGCACTACTATTTTACAGAGACCGTCACAAATTAAAACTTAGTTACGACCGTCATACATCTAGACAGACAACTTGACACCAATTTGTTTGCAAATTATTGGTGGCCATTTTTAGTCAGAAAATTTGCGCGTCACATGACCATCATTTTTGTTATATGAAGCGAGATCGCTTCATATAACAAAATGATCGTTATGATAACAAATGATCGTTATTTTTCATCTCCAATTGGCGATCGCAACATAGATGTCAGAGCCACCAAGTGGACCCTAAACTAACTATTTTTGGGGGCTAACCAATGAAATCACTGGGAGCGAACCAATGATAGGGCTCAACCAATGAGATCACTGGGTTCCCCTTGATCTCATTGGTTGGCCCCCGTCAGTAGTTCGTTTAGAGACGACTTGATGGCTCTCACATCTGCGTTGCGATCGCGAATCATACCTTACCCTCCAACAAGACAACGTTCTCCATCTACCGTCACCCCCGCAAACCACCCTCGGAGAACCAAATGCCTACCATATCGATCGGCGCTCCTCGCGGCGAGCATTCCCCACACGAAAATCCCACGACCAATCCCCAATACGAACCGTCGAATCACAATATCCGTCCACAAATCCAGTTGCAAACCCAATCGCCACCGAGAGAGACAGAACGAGAGACCCCGATCCAGTTTCCCCATTACAATCCCTACCCATACAACACCAAAATAAGCAGCGATAGAGAGAGACAATAAACCCCTGAACAATAATCTCGGAATACCCTAGCGAACCGAGTGAGCCTAGGCAGGCCCCAGTCGAGAAGGAGTGTGTGACGTAAAGCAGCGATCCAAACAAGTATCAGCTGTGTGGCAGTCATTGTTCGTTTCGGATATATTTTTTTTTCCTCCTGGCAGTAGTACAAGAATAATAAATCATCCAACTTTCCATTATTTTTACTGTATCTTCCCCCCTCCCTCGCTGAGACTCGATAAATTATCGAGATAAAGAAAATAAATCATCAAATTATTGTTTTTTCCTTTTTTCTTTTGTTAAATTAATTTCATTGAAATAACGGTGTTGTGTTCAAGGATAAAGAAGAGAAAAAAAAAGAGGAGAGAAAATATAAAACGGAGTTGAGATAATTCGGCGGGGGGGTGTCTCCCGTGGACACTAAGTGACGCAGAAATTGCATAAGAAAATAAGGAAAATTGTCGAATTGAAGAAAATATTTCGAGCGTGGGACTTGAGGGAGAAGTGGACATTTTCTTTTTTTCCTTTTCTTGTGGGGGAACAAAATAACCGTGGATTGAGGTGTTGGAACAGAGTTTGGGGATATTTTTTTGTGCTGGAGAGGAACACACAGATAGTGGTGATCGGTGGATTTAAGAAGGTTTGGCCCAACTCCTAGGTGAAAAATAATCGTGTGAAAAACGGGGCGGTACGCGCATAAGCCTGGCCTCGAGCGGCGAGTCGGACGACGGTGGGCTCGCTCCGCCACCGCGCAAAAGGTCCCGTAGTTCAATTTCAACTACCCCAAGACCAGCGGACGAGTACCACAACAGCGCAAACATGGATAATTATCGGTGAACATTTTTTTTTATTTATTTGAATTTTTTTGCAGGTTTTCGCCTGGGGTTTTAACCTTTTGGGGAATTTTTTCTGGTTTTTGGAATTTTTTTTTCTGAGCTGACTGGGACCTTGGGGGAGACGAAAATATTGTGGAGATTATTTCTGAGATGCAGCTGGGGTGATGGAAATTTGTTTGTTTTGGGGGAGTTCCAGGAGGTCAGGACGGGTTTGACTTTTGGGAGTTTTTGACGTTTCGGAGGCGTTTAAAGGGCTGTCGATTTGGTTTGGCGGGGAGGGGGGTTTAAAGGAATGGTCGAGTTGGGGATTTTTAATTTATTGTTGATTTTTTTGAATCATGAGAATTGCTCATTCATAATCATTTTTGCGATTTCTATTGCCTATTTTTTTAGAGTTTGAGTTTTTTGGGAGGTTTTTAAAGGTTTTTTTAGAGCTACATGGAGTGGTTGATCTAGGGGGTTTTTAGATATTTGTAAGGCAATTGTGACTCAACTTATTCGTGAGTTTTTATTTTTACTAGAGATTCCTCATTTTTCACTTACTCCTCATCTTCGATTATTTTTTATTTTTGAGGCCCAGGTATTGGGATTTTTGAAATTTTCTGGAATTGTTTGGGTCAATTTTTAGAAGTACTTCAGTGGAAAGATGCGATTCAATTTCTACAATGAAAGTTTTTTATATCTGGAATTAGAAGGACATTCATCATTTTATTTTGTTCCTGTTTTGAATAATTTTTTTTGGTCTAAGAATTGGATTTTCCGAAAGATGAGACTACTATTGGGATTATTTCAAAGGTTCAGCTGGGGTGATGGAAATTTGTTTGTTTTGGGGGAATTTCAGGAGATCAGGATGGATTTGACGTTTCGAGAATTGTTTTGACGCTTTGGAGGTGATTTAAAGGGCTGTCAATTTGTTTCTGGTGGGGGGTTTAAAGGGAATGGTCGAATTGGGGAATTTTTGGGATTTTTAATTTATTGTTGATTTTTTGGAATCATGAGAATTGCTCATTCATAATCATTTTTGCGATTTCTATTGCCTATTTTTTTAGAGTTTGAGTTTTTTGGGAGGTTTTTAAAGGTTTTTTTAGAGCTACATGGAGTGGTTGATCTAGGGGGTTTTTAGATTTTTGTAAGGCAATTGTGACTCAACTTATTCGTGAGTTTTTATTTTTACTAGAGATTCCTCATTTTTCACTTACTCCT